GGCGCTGTAATGAGGGGCCAGACTTCCTGGACGAAGCCCCTCAGGGGCCGGGGCTGGGCACCCCACCCAGTCTCGCACAAATCTCTGACCCCCCCAGATGCTGGCTTGGGCAGCAGAGTCAGGCGTCCAGGGCTGGACCTCAGCCACACAGAGGACCCCAGACAACCTGCCAAGCAGATGTTGTTAGGCCGGGCACTGCAAACCAGCAAGCCCTGAGCTGGCGGTTCCATCCACCCCTCCAGCCAGCCCCAGAGGAAGCCCCAGATAATGGAGATGGCTTCATATCCACAGATGAACTCTAGCAAGCAGCACCTTGGGCTTGCCAGGACTCTGTGGGGAAAGAATTCCTATCTTAGAAATGATGGAATTCAAAGAAAGAAGGGGAAGATTTTACTACTTAAAAATGGAAGGCCTAGAAAAAGGACACAGAAAATGAGTGAAGCCGTTGTTAATACAACTAAGAGATAAGAAGAAGATGGGGAAACATTTGCCAAAAACGCAGCAGAAAAAGTTAACATCGTATTGTATATAGAAAACCTCCTTTGAGTCACTTAGGGAAGGACATATCCCCATGGGCAGAAGGGCAAATGACACGCTGTGCTGGGAGCGGACCAGGGCCGCCCAGGCCCACCCACTGGCCAGCTACCGAGGTGACTGACCGTGGACTCTGCTTTCCAGCCTGGCCTGGCCCCCGGGCACCCATGACCTCCGGGTCCGGGTCCTCTCTCCTCTCGCTGCCTCCCACGGCCACAGCAGTGGCAGTGGGTGAGAGCGTGTGGTCACCTTGCGCCCCTCCTCTGGGTGGCTGCAGGCCAGCTTCTGGGCCTCCAGGTCGGGGAACTTCTTGGGCTGCTCTGGGGAGGACAGCTGGTATTCCATCTGCGTCTTGATGACCACCTGGGGAAAGAGGGAGCCAGAGGCTGCGAGGGCTAGTGGTGGCTGTGATGTGACTGCTGCCTGCCTGCCCTCACCGTCAGAGGACGCATGCCTGCTGCTGGGCGCCCTCTGCTGGCTGTTCCAGGAACCCTCACACTTGCCCTGCGCCCGTTTTCCCATCTACAGATGTGGAGACAGGGTGCTCGTGGCCACATGGGCCTACTGGGATTTCAGCCCAGCCCTGGCCCTTCCCCACTTGTCCTACTACACCTCAGAGGAGGCACATCTAATGAACCTCACCAACACCCCTCTGTTCCCAGGGGAACCAAGGGGACCCCGCACCTCACTGGCCCAGGCCTCTCACCTGGTCTGGGAAGGGTGGTTGGAGCTGGCTGACATCCAGGGGGCTGATCAGAGGGACACTGTCTGTGGCAGCCCCATCCTCTTCCCCAGGGTCTTTGTCTGGCTTCCCAGAGAAGCTACAGCCCAGCTTCACCATGGTGGACGGTCGTCCTCAGCCTGGAGCAAAGACAGAGACAAGGCCACTGCCCATAGGCCAACAGCTCCGGGCCCTCCACCTGGCTCAGACCAACAGGTGTCCTGGGCTGGTCCCATGCTCCTCCCTCCAGAGCCAGGGGCCGGGGTGCTCAGGCTGCCTGCCGTCCCCAGCGAGTCCAGCCAAAGGCTTCTGCCACCTTCCTGCACACACCCCTCCCACCCTCTGGACCCCACTGCAGTAAGGGAGGCACCTCTGACCAGTGACTGCCAGACAAACAAACACCAGGAGAATCTTCCCTGGCAGACCAGCCCCCAAGGAAAGTCTTCTCAAATAGAAGCCTGGAAATGAGGAGTGCTAGATTTAGCAAATAAAAATACAGGACACCCAGTTAAATTTGAATTTCAGATCAACAACAGATTTTTTTTTTAGTATAAGCACATCCCATGTAATATGCAATATGGGACATACTTATGCTAAAATACAACGCATTGTCGATCTAAAATTTGCATGCAGCTGGGTGTGCTGTGTCTGATCTGACAATGCTACTGGAGATGAGGTGCTACAGAAAGGCATGCCTGTGTGTGAATCCAAATGCCAGGGAGCAGAATACAGCGTGGATGATGCACAGTGGGTCATCAGGACACTGACGCGACAGGAGTCGGGTGGGCGGGAGGAGAAGATGGAGCTAAGAGCCCCGCACGCATGGAAGGAGGGCAAAGGACCTGCCTAACCCTGGATAAGTCGAGGGTGTGTGATCTGACCTTTAGGTCGACCACAAAAAAAGGTAACTGAGGAAATAACTCCCAAGCTGATGGACGGAAAATGTAGAAAAGTGAAATATACTCAATCAACCAAAAAAAGAAAAGTTCTATGTCCACCAAGAAATTGAATCTGTGACTAAAAACCTTCCCACAAACTCCAGGCCCACATGGCTTCACCACTGAATTCTACCAACTATTTAAGGAAGAAAAACATGAAATATCATGCAAAACCCTCCCAGAGAAGAGAACGAGGGAACACTCCCCAATGCACTGTATGGAGCCAACATAATCACAGTCTCAAAATCAGGAGAGAACATTACGAGAGAGGATATCACAGGCCAGTTCCACCCACAAACATCAACGGAAAGATCCCAAATGGAATTCAGCAATATGCAAAAAGGTAATGCATGATGACCAGTTGAGGGTATTCTGGAAATGAAATTTGGTTTAATGTTTGAAAAGTAGTCAGTGTACTTCACCGTGTTAACAGAAGGCATCTGTTCAACTTCAGCAGAAGCTGAAAAAGTATTTGATAGGATTCGACATTCATTTACCATTTAAAACTTCTATTAGTACACTAGTGGCACAAGAAAACTTCCTTAATCTGATAAGGGTTATCCATAAAAAAAATCCTGCAGCAAACCTTACTGAGTGTACATGGTGATAGATTTGCCTTTGAGATCAGGAAGGGGACAAAAATACCCTTTACTACAAGTTCTACAAATCATGGTACCAGAGGTCTTAGCCAATGCTATTGGGCAATAAAAAGAAATAAGAGCTATATAGACTGGACAAGATTATGTAAAACTCATTACTCACAGATGAAATGCCTTTATGTGCAAAAAATCCAAAAGAATCTACAGATAAATTAATAGATCTGAAAAGTGAGTTTAGCAAAGTTGCTGGATTTTAGGTATTCATAAACCCATTGTACTTCTATATAGGTATATCCACCACAAAAAAAGTTAGAAAATAAATTTTTAAAAGATTCCAGTAAGCTAATATTAGAAATATCAAATGCTAAGGAGGAAGTCTGATAAGCTATGAGTAGGACCTCCATGTAGAAAACTATGAGACATTGTTGATCAAGATCAAAGAAGACCTAAATCCCCCAAATAAATGGGTCATGGATTTCGGCAGGCTCTCGTTTAAACACGTCATTTCCCCCCCAAAAAATGTAGCTATAGAGTCAATAAATCCCAATCAACATTCCAACAGGATTCCCCCCCACAAAAAAAAAAAATGTAGCTATAGAGTCAATAAATCCCCATCAAAATCCCAACAAGATTTTTTGTGTGTGTGGACTTGAAAAACATTGTAAATTCATATGGACTGCAAAGGACAAGAATAGCCAAGACATGCTGAAGGAGAACAAGGAGGACTCACTCTGCCAGAGGTCCAGGTTGTTACACAGCTGCAGAACTTAAACAGTGTGACATTGATGTATCACAGGCAGAGACACCCCCGTAACACACCTGCAGACAGCGCCCTGGACTGACAACAGAGACGCTGCTGCAGAGCAGGGGAGACATGCTCATCCTTTCAATAAATGACGTCCTCATGGGAAACAGTGAACCAATCCCTACCTCACACCACAAACCCTACCTCACACCACACACAAGAGTTAACTCCAGGTGGACTGTAAACCTAAATAGGAAAAGCAAAACAAAGCATCTCAAAGATAATACAGGAAGATATTTCCCTGACCTAAGGGAGGGGAAGATTTCATCAACATGACAAATAAACACTAGTCATACTGACAAAATGACCACATCAAAATAAGACCTTCTGCTCATCCAAACATAGCATTAAAAGAAACGAAAAACAAGACTGGGAGAAGATATTTGCAACTCAAAACTGACAAAAGGATTACAGCCAAAATGTGTAAAGAACTCCTCAAACTGGTAAAGAAAAAGACACCCACTAGAAAACTGGGTAAAAGAGGCTCTCAAATGGCCAATGACTACTGCTAAGGTGCTCACTCTTCCTAGTCATCTAGGAAGGCACATGGAACCTCCGTGAGAGGCACCGTTGCATCCCTACAAGAACCTGAGACGCTGGAACAACAGGAACCCCACTTGGTGAGGTGTGGCTCCACACTCCACTTTGGTAAGTGGCTTCGGGAAGCATTTCTTACTAATGCTGAAAGTGCGAACAGCAATTCCACTCCTGGGCGTAGACCGAACAGGAATTGGGTGGCGGGGTTCATATGTGTATAGTAGCATTATTCCCAATAGGAACTGGAAACCCCCATCTATTGATCAAGAGTAGAACACATAAATAAATTGAGTGTATTTCTACAATTGAGTGCTCCACAGCATGAAAGTAGACAAACGACAGCTACGAGCTAGAGGACCTGAATCTCCCCAAGTAACACGGAGGGGCTGAATCTCCCCAAGTAACGCGGAGGGGCTGAATCTCCCCAAGTAATGCGGAGCAAAAGGAGCCAGGCTCAAAAGAACGTTCAGGGACAGCCAAACACTAACTACAGTGTTTAGGGGAGCAGATGGGCCAGGTGGGGCTTCTGGGCCGGGGTGGATGCTTGGAGTCACTTAATGACAACTCATTAGGCGCAAGCTTATTTTATGCACTTTTCTGCATATTCCCTATATTTCACAACGAAAAAGGTTGAAAACAAACAAAAAACATCAAGAAAAAGACACCCCCACCCCCCATCTCCCATCCAGGTCCAGAGCCCTCCGTTCATGGATAGTCAGTGCCCCTAGGCCTGGTTGGCGAGCGTAGAAGACACCGTTCCAAGCGCTCTTCCTGAGGTGGGGGCTCGAGCCTGTCCAGGACTCTGCTTGGAGGAGACGCTGGCACAGCGCACCTGCCCCCACGGGATGCATTAATTCATTCATTCACCAAGGACTCTGGCCACGCCGCGGGCACGGGCTGGCTCCGCACAAGGGACGCAGGAAAGCAGGCAACGCCAACCGCCTGCCCAGACCCCGCCCCCCCCCCCTCCCGCCGCCATGGAGGGAGATACAGACTGTAAGAATCACTGAATAACTATGAAGGACCTCAGGTGACCAAGTGCTAGGAAGAGAAGGAAGAGAACAGAGCAGGAAGAGGAAGGGGCTGAGGTGGAGACCGTACCGAGTCAAACGCTAGGGGAGGGACGCGGCGGGTGGGCAGCGAGGCCCGAGCTTGGCGCGCTGCGGGGTGGGGCGGGCGAGGCAGCAAAGCGGTGGAGGAGCTTCACCCCGGATTCGCGCCGCAATGGCACCAGCGCGGTCAGACCGGCAGAACGCGGGGCGGAGTGGACGCCACCACGGCCCAGCCAGCCCCGCGGCTCCCTGCGCTCACGAGAAAGCGGGAGAGCGGAGGTGAGGGCGGGGGGCGGGGTCGATCTCGCAGACCCCGCAGACCCGCCCCACCCTGCGGTGGTCGAGCCATTAGAGGGCGCGGGGCAGGGTCTCGCTCCAACCAAACGGAAATTCCCACTTCTCAACTCCGAGCGAAGGCCGTTTGATGTCACTGCGGGTTTCCATGACAACGGAGCGGGGACCAAGAAGACGCATCTTCACGCAGAAAAAGAACCATGGGGGCGAGGAGGGGGTCGGCTCTCGGCGTCTGGTTCCCGCCTCCTCACCCCCGCGCCCCAGGCAGAGTCGGGGGGGCCTGGGCTGTATGCAGGGACCCTGCCCCCTTCCTTTCGGCCTCGCTCATTCGCACCACACAGGCCTTCGTGGAGTTGGAGGGTCGTCCTGCACCTCCTGCTGCCCCCTCCCTCCACGCTGCGCTGTAATGGTGTGGGTTCCTGGGTTCCTGCCGGTCTCCTGACTCCAAGGCCCCAGCACCGGAGGAGCGGGCACAGGATGCTCCCGGAGGTTGTGCAGAAGGACAGACGGACAGACTGACGCGGGTGGACCCTAGCTGAAAGCCTGCAGAAGCTTGGCTAGAGACAGGCGAGTCCCGTTGCAGACCTGTCACACACAGCGCCCTGGGACGCTGCGTCACCACGGGCAGCGAGGTGTGCGCTGTCGCGCGGGTGTGTGCGACGGTCGGGGTGCTTGTGATCGCGGACGTGAGCGTCTGCGGACTCCCCTGAAAACCACGGAACAGCCCCCACCTTCTACCAGGCCTGTGAGCCTGGCCCTGCCACAGCCCGCCGGCCCGGCCACGCGACCCCCACTACAGTCGTGGGCCTGGCTCATGGTTCCAGGGCAGCCGGGCCACGCGCTGAGGCTGGGGGAGGGCTCCTCCCGCTCCCACGTACCCAGCCCCTTGGGGTCC